CGTCATCACTGCAGCAATTGAAGTGCACTCCCATGTTGCTGACACCAGCTGCGAAACATGCAACTGTCAAGCTAATTAGGACAGAAATGCCATTTCCACAGTTCTGCAGTGGTCATGATGGAAACGTGCTTCAGCCCCACACAATATAAGGTAACAAGAAATGCTTCGTTCATTACCTGCAGTTGCATAAAATGACCCTGCATTTCTAGCTTTACTTTGTCAGATCATGTTGAATAAAATACCTAGATTTTAATTTGAACACCTATTTTCAACAAGCACTGTATGTATGCAGAGTATCAGAATAGCTACCAGGATTGTTTTTGAAACAAGAACCTACCGTACAGATTAACAATTCACCTGACATCCAGCCTTTCCACTTTTTTTCTTTGCAGATTCTTAATTCATTTCAGAATATCACATTTCTGATCTGCCAAACTGGTGAGAATGTATTGCAGGCTTATGTGTTTCTTTTCTCCCATCACATTCAGATTCCCTTTCCTCAAACCAACATTTTCCATGATGCCAGAAAAGATGGAGGAATGTTAAGATGTAATTACTCTATCTATGGACATTTGAAGTGGGGATGCAGACTAGTTTTACAGGCCATTAATATTCACCTATATTTTGGCTGATTGAACATCAGAGCCAATTTTAATTATAGATATTAGGAAAGGGAAAGAGTGACATCAAGAAAATGGTGACCTAGACGCCATTGCTTTGACAGAATCTGCAAGAGAGGCGCCTAACAACTCCGTTGATGGCAATTCACTGGATCAGTTTCAATGTGTGAGTACCGATGACGTGGACAAGCTACTTGGAAAAATGGGGAAGACGACTTGCCCTCTCGATCCTTGTCCATCTTGGCTGGTTGTTCGGGGGGGGGGGGGGGGGGGGGAACGCATTGAGAGTGTTCCTTCGATCAATGCGTCCTTCAAGGAAGGCACTATCCCATCGTGCTTGAAGGAAGCGGCCATTAGGCCACTCCTGAAAAAACCCTCTCTGGATCCCCTGGATAGAAACAATTACAGACCAGTCTCCTTGCTTACTTTTTTAAGCAAGGTGATCGAGAGGGCAGTTGCTTCCCAACTCCAGGCAGTCTTGGATGAAACAGATTATCTGGATCCATTTCAAACCGGCTTCAGGACAGGATTTGGGGTTAAGACAGCCATGGTCGCGCTGACCGATGACCTCCGCTTGGACATTGACAGGAGTAGTGTGACCCTGTTGGTTCTCTTGGATCTCTCAGCGGCCTTTGATACAATAGATCATGCCATCCTCTTAGATCGCCTGAGAGAGTTGGGAATCAGAGGCACTGTTTTGCAGTGGTTCCGTTCCTTCCTCTTGGGCAGATCCCAGAGGGTGAGGCTCGGGGACAGTTGCTGTTCCAAAATTGAGCTTAATTGTGGTGTCCCTCAGGGCGCCATCCTGTTTCCAATGCTATTCAATATTTATATGAAGCCGCTGGGTGAGATCATTCAGAGG